GTGTTTGTCAGACGCCCTCTATTTTTATCTATATAAGCCCGGCAAATAAAGCGTAGATATAATTGCAGATAGGGAGATACAAAGACATAATTGAGTCAAGTGAGCGGTAGTGACAGTAAGTAAAGTGCGTGAATCGTTGTGAATTATAGTGTGTGTTGAAGTGAATGTGACGGTGGAAATTCTGTGTATTGCAAAGTTGTATTGAGAAAGAATAAACTAGTTTTATTTAAGAAAGGACTTGTATAGCTGATATTCTTTGGAAAGAATTTTTACGTGAAATTAACAAACAACCAGATACGTAACAATATAATGAATCTCATTGATGGTTTGATTAATGAACAAGTACTCACTCAGACAGAAGAGTTTAGTAATTTTGATAATGAAAATTTTCAAAGCACTGTTGCGTCATCGAGATCACGTGACTATTCTCACGCCCTCTACTTTCTAGAACTATCCTGTACTTTGGCGAATGGTCAGGCGTTTACTAAATATAGGGTAGTCTGGTATATAAAAGAGGGTGACAACGTGACGGTAACGTGTGTGTAGATAGTGAGTAATTGAACTGCAGGCAGAAGTATTGTTGACGTTCGTTGATATATCGTTTGTTTTAGCGCGATTGTTGAAAATAAGTTTATCGTAAAGTTATATTCAGAAAGAATAAACCAGTTTTATTAAGTAAGAACTTGTGTCGCTAAAGTATCGTCGGAACGAAGTTACAGAAAGTCAATTAACAAACGGAGACGTAACAATACCTTTGGTAATCTTTATGTAGCAGAGTATCAAAGTGTTGTTTGTGTTTCTGAATTTCAGTTTCAGAATCAATTCTTTATTCTAACTGCAAACTTCTTCAACTTGGTGACTTGTGAGTAGTATACTCCACTCGTGACTGTATATCTGGATTTAAATTAAATCTATTTGTAATTGGATATAAAGTCGAACTTTAAACAACTAGCCTACATGGTGTCGTGTTACAAAATACAGCTGAAAGAAAAACTTTTATCTAGGGTTTTGAAGAGCAATTTTACCTTGTGGTTCTCATTAATACTTGTAAAGATGTTTCAACTGGTTCAAATTGAAATATTCATGAGTAGATGAAATTATTGGTTATAAATCAAATTCATAGACAATATCTCAGATATTACAAATATGAACTTGGTATACTCGGTGTTTTATGCCATTTTTATAGCAATATTTTCTATAAGACACAGTTTTCCTGAATATTTTAAATTTAGTTTCATTAAGAAAGACTGTGTTAAAGTATGATAATGTAAGTTATAACTGTATTAAGAGGAGGTGAAATTAACACTTGCATAGTGAAAACTTTTTAAAATTTCCCCCAAAACTGTTAAACAACTTGTAAATGGAAGAAAATCCCAAAAGAAATAAGGTAGCAGAAGCATTGGTGAAGGCTGATGGTCAGAGGTATTGGTTAGCACTGTCTGACCTCAGTTAGCTTGAGGGTGTATAAACCTGTTGTATTCTTAACCCCCATTTCTTCTCACCTGAACCAAATGCTTTATATGTGACAATCAGCTGGTAGAAAGACTAATGAGGCTAGGTTGAAGAATATAGTGTGTGTTCTAGTTGTCCTAGCAACAAGGCCATGGGTAGTTGGTCAGTCAGGGGCTCACAGAAGCCTGGGGATTGGGAGGTTCTCAGGTTACTAGGATATATGTTATGTGGGTGACAAGATACATGCACACACATATGAAGCCCATAGAAATATTGTTTGATCAATACCTGAATTCAGAGTTCATGGGTGTAACTACATATTTTACCTACAAACTCAGCTGAACTTTTGAGCAATTGGAATTCAACCAATGTTAGATTTCAATTTCGAGGTTTGGTATTTACAGTTAAGTTTTAGTCATAATTAGTTTCTCTCTTCTTCACTTAGCCAATGATAATCCCTTTACCTTATTGTTCTATTACGGTTGAAACCTTTTCTACTATTTTTGACCAACCAAGTGTCTATGAACTGCATCATCTTCTTCCTATGAGATCCCCAAGTTCCTGTAAGAGTTCCTATTCAGTGAAGGAACCGACAAATTTGTGATACCAAGGATGCCTAAGACTAGCCTTAGGTTCACCATGGATGAGCCCATGAATGAAGATACACTGCTTGCCATTGCATTTGTCATGGGGTTGGCCCTATGGTATCCAAAGGCATGCATCCCTCTTGGCACTGATGACATCCACTACAACACCAGAGGAGCTGAGCCTGCAGGCCACTTAACAGCTAACTTTGTCGCTACTGCTGATGTTATCCAAGGAAGAGGTAAGGCCTCAGACCTGGGCCAATTGTTATCCTCTCAGAGGATACACCATCACCACTTTATTCTTAAGCCTAAGAAGACCTTTCCACTACTTGGATCTTCTTAATGGTTGACCAAGTCTTAGGAAGTCACAGGCAGATTGGCACCCAGAGAACACCAGCCACTTCATCAGGAGTTCCACATTTATGAAGGGGCATTCATTTCCATGGTGGGTGTTCCATCAGTAAGAAATTGACTTCTATGCAGCTGTCTTGGCAAATCACTACTGACTACACAACACAGGGAAGAAACTCAGAGGACATCAAGAGTGGAACTTCCTTGCTAGGGCAGATTCCAGTGCTGATAAGACATTGTCAGGAGATAGCCACCAAAGGGATAGAGGCATGTACCCTCTGTAACTGAGAGATGGATCAACTGCAACAGAAGGCAACCACTCTGACATCATTTGCAGAAGGATTTTTCCCAAACTCAAAAAGATGTTTCATTTTTACTTTGTGTATTTCTTAGAATATTTTATTTATCTAAGTAGTATTTTCTTTACATATTGATTGTTTATTATTGTTAAAGGAATTTTCTATTTTATTTTATTTATATTATTTTAGGCATTGAAGGGTCTTATTAATCCTTTGTGCCAGCTTTACATAATATGCTAGACTATCCACTTCTAAATGGGCCAAGTTATCTTTTTCAGATGATTCACAGTTTTTTTTTCATTTTATTTATGTTGTCTGTTAGGCTATCCCCTTCTGAAGGTGGTAGGTAATCACAGTTAAGGTTCTTTTTCATATGTAAATCACTTTTAAAGAATATTTTTGTATGATGTTCATTGTTAAAGGGTTTACTTTAACATTGTGCATTTCCTTGTTAAAAGTATTTTGATTTTTCCATTTAACTGTAAATTTTAGTTCATTTATTTTTCTTCATTGTATAATGTATTAAGGTTACTATAAATTTCAGTTAAAGAGTCCTTTTCAATTATAATCAAAAGGGTTTATTTTACATATTGTTTTGTATTGTAAAGCTTGAATTATTTTCTTGTAAATAAATGTTTTTTATTTAATGATTTTGTAATCCATATGTCATGCAATTGCTCTTAGGAACAACAGAAAGTCAATGTGTTTCTTGTTCATATCACAAGTTTGAAGTTGGTTTTAAGTTTCAATTTAATTGTTGGCTGAAATGGAGATGAAGGAAAGTGTGATATGCAGGTATATCATATGTTTTTCACCATCTTTAATGATATACGAATTTTTAACATTTCCTGTTTAGTTACTTTCTCTGCAGTTTTGGCATAAACACACGAGGTCCAGAAAAACCATTGAAATTTTGTTATAGTTATCTTTGTGTTTTTGTTTTCTATATCTACTCTGCTGAGAGGATGTTTCCATAGCATTACACATCTGTGTAGAAAGGGTCACTGACTGCAGTGTACATGGCCAAGTGGATGACATATGAATGTCACAACCAACAAATACTATGGGAGAATGTTCAGTCACAATGTGATGCTATTGCAAAGAAAGGATACAAGGTTTTTTTGCAACATTGGAACCTTTATACTTTCAGGATTCTACTTGCCTGTCATAGTGAATATTTCTACAGAGATTATTTTAATGGTAAGTATGCACACTGTTTTCTTGCTTTGTTTTTAATAAATATTGTTTCACTTAAAATCAAACATATCAAGTCTCATTATTTCTTGTACAACTTAAAACTCAGTTGCATTTTCAAATTCAGATTACTCTGTATATTAGCTTTTTGGTCCTCACATTATTCAATGAGCCTACTTAATGCTTGTGTGGAAATCTGATAATACCACATCCTCAATTCTTAATGTTCCATAACATTGGATGTTTTGGGAATGTAATGATTATTATAATTTCTACTGAATGAAGTGATTATAAGAATTTGTTAAATTACTTAAAACTGTAGCAAATACAACATAAAAGAGAAAATACAATATTACTAATACGTTATTTTTTCTGTAGCTTCTGTTTAAAAGAAAAGCACACAATTTCTTAAAGTATAAAACACATATTGTTATACTCAAAATGTAGCTGTGAATGAATAAAAATGGTATTCTTACATAAAGATCTAAGTATCTTTAGTAATTTTGTATAAAATATAAGATTATGCATTCAAAGTATATTGATATATAATTTATTCTTACTGAAATGTAAAATGTAATAACTTAAAGTAAGTTGATAAAACAATTCATATTCAAATCATAGCACACAAAACTCAGTAAAACATGTTTGGAACTGGTTTTATGTTTGCATTACAATATTTAGTTAAACACAAGTTACAGCTTAGAAACAAAGTTAAAAACAGAGGCATCTGGAGGTGAATCTGGTAAGGTGCAACCACGTTGTTTTACTATTTCACTAGCAGCATACAGACCACATTTAACAGCTTCCTCTAAAGTAGCATCAAACAAAAGAGCTGATAGAAACCCTGCTACAAAAGAATCTCCTGCACCTATTGTATCACCAATTTTTGCCACTCGAGGAACTGGATACTCCAGACATTGTGAACTGGATGACTGTGCAACAATCAGTGGTTCTGTACCTCGAGTAATCACTACAACCCGTGGGCTGTCACTGTCCATTTTAGGTAATAATGCTATCTGCTTGGCAATGTCTGACACAGAAGTGATGGTTAAATTCAAATGATGACCAAATGCCCTAGCTTCTGAGTCATTCCCAAATAGCAAGTCTATATAAGGCATGCAATTCATTATGTCAGAAAAGTTACATTCACATATATAGGTTGCAGACAAGTTTAAAACAAATTTTTTATTGTTCTCATGAGTGTTTTTTGCTAAGTCATATACTACACCTGGACTGTGAGATAAAAAGAAACCTTCTACATACACATATTCTGCTTTCTGTAACACACGTTTAACACGCTCACATTTCAGGTGTTCAGGACTAAACTGCTCAGCAGCACCTAGTCGTGCACACAATGTCCGCTTACCATCACTGGTAACAATTCCTGCACTGACTCCTGTTGGAAGTGAAGGATGATATTGATATTCAGTAATTACTTGACTAGCCTTAAGTTTTTCTTCTAACAATCGACCATATGAGTCATTTCCAATACAACCGGTGAAGGCCACTGTTTTACTACCAAGTCCTTGTAATAACCACTGAGAAATGCGTGCAGAGTTCTGAGCTGACCCACCAGGTGTCAGCATTACACTTTTATTACAAAGTTCTTCAAAGAGGCCAACTTGCTCATGTCCATATTCAGAATTATCATCTGCTTTTAACTTGTACTTTTCAAGAATTGAAGAGTCACATTCAGCTGAGATATCCAACAAGGCATTACCAAGGTAAAACATCTTGCCCTTCCTCGTGTGGTATACCTTGGATACATATTAAAGAAGGTAGTAAATAAGAAAAAATAAATATGCACACTTTATGATATTAAGATTGCTATACTAAATTTTTAACTTCTGAAATAATCATAGTTTTATAGTCAAAAATAAAACTATCTTATGCTTGAGTTTCAAACAGACAAGTATTTAAACTAGATGTATAAATAAAGACTAAACTTAACAGTCTATCAATGAGTTCTTTTGAACCTTGTTTATAGATTATAGAATTTTTGGAAAATGAGAAACACTTGATAACAGATATAGTTTGTAATATTCTACAACACAATGAGTGGGAGAAGGTTACACATTTTTGTTATAATAAACAAATACAAAGATATAATGATGAGGAACCCACTTTAAGACTAATAACGCTTGGAGACGGCTTGAATTGGTAATGAAGAAAAACTTTAATATACGTTTAACATAACAGCAAATGTACAACGTTTCGACAAGGTTTTGTCAAAATGTTG